TAGCAACTACATAGCAACACCCTGGCAACCCATAATAAGACGTTTTGCACTGACAAATAGAAACCACCCTAGAAACCACTTAGGAACCCTAGCAACACCCTAGAAACCACCTAGGAACCCTAGCAACACTCTAGAAACCCTAGGAACACCCTAGAAACCACACAGACCACCCTGGAAACAATCTGTAGATGCCCTATAAACCGTTAAAAACACCTTAGCAACCACACCATAGCAACAACCTATAAATCAGAACACCCTAGCAACTACATAGCAACACCCTGGCAACCCATAATAAGACGTTTTGCACTGACAAATAGAAACCACCCTAGAAACCACTTAGGAACCCTAGCAACACCCTAGAAACCACCTAGGAACCCTAGCAACACTCTAGAAACCCTAGGAACACCCTAGAAACCACACAGACCACCCTGGAAACAATCTGTAGATGCCCTATAAACCGTTAAAAACACCTTAGCAACCACACCATAGCAACAACCTATAAATCAGAACACCCTAGCAACTACATAGCAACACCCTGGCAACCCATAATAAGAAGTTTTGCACTGACAAATAGAAACCACCTAGGAACCCTAGGAACACCCTAGAAACCACAGACCACCCTGGAAACAATCTGCAGATGCCCTATAAACAGTTCAAAACACCTTAGCAATCACACACAACACGATAGCAACAACCTATAAATCAGAACACCTTAGCAACCACATAGCAACACCCTGGCAACAAATTTTACTCTGGTAAATACCACTCACTGTTTTGTAAATTGAGAATAGGTTTTAACATGAATGTTATTGATGAAAGTGTTTGTAGACAGATTTCCAGCTTAAAGCGGACGTGACTGAGTTAATGCTGTGTGCTTGTGCTCAGTTTGTGGGGAAGTCAGGTGTTCATCTGAAGCGGGATTTCTTCCTGACTAACGCGTCCAGCGCTCGCTCGGAGCTCTTCATTAACCTGCGGGAGGTGAGCTCACGCTTCCAGCTGCCCGCCGGCGAGTACATCATTGTACCCTCCACATTCGAGCCGCAGAAAGAGGCCGACTTCGTGCTCAGAGTTATGTGGGAAGATTTGCATAATGCCGCCCAAATGTTCACGCTAAGAAAGAAGGCGTGACTTTTATTCTCGCTGTAGTATTGTTGCTGCCGCCATGTCGTGAAAATGCTGTTACGGAGGACTGTTTCCTGATCCTGAGTGAGTAGACTACAATGCTGGCTGTTCTGACTCACAGATTGTAAGACTGTTATACTTAAGTACGTTTTTTATGTTAAAGGATTTGCCACTGATGATTCAAACGTGAGTTTTGAGCAGTGTAGAGTAGCGCGTGTTGTTTGTCATTTCTCTGATCACAAATGCAGACATGGTTTTATGTTTATGCAGCGCGATGCAACGCAACGCGTAAAAAGACAGTATAAGTCATTATAATCAGTAATTATGTCCCCACTGGATGCAACAAATGCCTCGTTTATAATGGGTTTTAATGTTTTTGTCTCGTCGCTCCGGCCTGACAGGGCATCACAGTATGGTGAGGGGCATAACATTTCATTCACACGCTTGAGGTATTCGGCCAATCACAATGCACTGGATAGCTGGCCAATCACAGCACACCTCACTTTTCAGACCGATGAGCTTTGTAAAAATCGACACGTTTCAGAAAGGCGGGGCATAGAGGAGAAACAATAATGTACAGTATGTGGAAAATAATGTGTTTTTTTAACCTTAAACCGCATAAACACATTTCATTACACCAAATACACAAAATAATGTTCTTTTAGCAACATCATATGACCCCTTAAAATGAAGTGTCAGACAGATCACACGTTCTGAGAGCTCAACTCTGTTGTGTGTCTTTATGCACAGATAAAGATTTAAAGACGGACGGGTTTGGAAAGGAGTCGTGCCGAGGCATGATCAACCTCATGGACGTATCCTTTCCACACAATCAGCTTTAAAAACATATTCACTTAACAAAACTCTGCTAACAAATACTGGTCATTGAGGGGCTTTTCAGTTTCTTTTTTTTTGTCACCACCACATACATTGACACTGCAGTGTTAAAATCTCAAGTCTTATTTGCGCTGCATGTTCACATCAACCATTCACTCTTTGTGTCTCGTACAGTTCAGACTGTATTTCTGTTTCTCTTGCTCTGATTGTCCTTGACATATTTGCAGACGGACGGCAGCGGGAAGCTCGGACTCACAGAGTTTCACGTGTTGTGGGAAAAGGTTAAACGCTACCTGGTGAGATATTATATTCATGTTTTTCAAAGGTAGTCTTTAGTGAGGGCTCTTCTGATGGTTTAAGTCAACACATTTCAGTGTTCAGCAGCTTGACCTGGACATTACACATAACATTAGCCAGTCTTAACGGAGCTCATTTACATATAGAAGTATTAGAAGTGCAGCAGAAAAAGCAGCATGTTTATTTCTGAGTCAGAGAGAAGGTGAAAAGTTGTTATAAACAACCAGTGTTATAGTAAAGTAAAAGTAAATCCATACATTCATTACTTAAAATAAATTCATAAAAGCTATATAGTTTACAATTAAAAAAGAAAAATGACTAAAACTATCTAAGAGTGAAAGCATCTTATACAGGTGCATCTCAATAAATTAGAATGTCGTGGAATAGTTCATTTATTTCAGTAATTCAACTCAAATTGTGAAACTCGTCTATTAAATAAATTCAATGCACACAGACTGAAGTAGTTTAAGTCTATGGGTCTTTTAATTGTGATGATTTTGGCTCACATTTAACAAAACCCCACCAATTCACTATCTCAACAAATTAGAATACTTCATAAGACCAATAAAAAAACATTTTTAGTGAATTGTTGGCCTTCTGGAAAGTATGTTCATTTACTGTACATGTACTCAATACTTGGTAGGGGAGCCTCAGTCCATTCCTTGTGAATTTCACTCAAATTCTTGAATCGATTTTGCTTGACAATCCTCATAAGGCTGTGGTTCTCTCGGTTGGTTGTGCATCTTTTTCTTCTACACTTTTTCCTTCCACTCAACTTTCTGTTAACATGCTTGGATACAGCACTCTGTGAACAGCCAGCTTCTTTGGCAATTAATGTTTGTGGCTTACCCTCCTTGTGAAGGGAGACAATGATTGTCTTCTGGACAACTTTCAGATCAGCAGTCTTCCCCATGATTGTGTAGCCTAGTGAACCAAACTGAGAGACCATTTTGAAGGCTCAGGAAACCTTTGCAGGTGTTTTGAGTTGATTAGCTGATTGGCATGTCACCATATTCTAATTTGTTGAGATAGTGAATTGGTGGGTTTTTGTTAAATGTGAGCCAAAATCATCACAATTTAAAGAACCAAAGACTTAAACTACTTCAGTCTGTGTGCATTGGATTTATTTAATACACAAGTTTCACAATTTGAGTTGAGTTACTGAAATAAATGAACTTTTCCACGACATTCTAATTTATTGAGATGCACCTGTAAAAGTACCATTCAAAATATGATTAGAAACGAATATAGTATCTCAGTCAACTAAAATAGCACTGTGAACAGCTCGGTTTCTGTTTTTGGTGCAGGAAACCTTGGCTAAAATTATAAAATGAAGAACGTGTAAAATATAGTAATGAAGTCATCATAAAAAAGATTGTATTGCCACATTATGATGAATTTTGCCTGAAGCAACTAAATGAACAGACATGACATTTTAATTCAAGCTTACAAACATTTTTATAATAAATAAAAATCAATGAATGGATAAATTGTGTGCAGTCCGTGGTTTGAAGACAACTGCATGAAGAAATGAAAAACTGTCAGATGATTGCATGATTTATGGTTTGCATATGTTTACAGCAAATCTTCAGAGACCATGACGTGGATAAATCAGGCACTATGAGCTCTTATGAGATGAGAAGAGCTCTGGAAGCAGCAGGTACACAGTCGAAAAGCTCTTATTTGGTCTGTTTTGATTCATCTCTGTGTCCTGACTCTCTGTTCGTCCCTTTCCTCCAGGCTTTAAGCTGAACAATCATTTATTCCAGCTGATCATCCTTCGGTACACAGAGGAAGATCTGTCTGTGGATTTCGACAACTTTGTCACCTGTTTAGTGCGTCTGGAGACCATGTTCAGTGAGTCGATGTGTCATGGCCATAGAATTTAAGTGTAGCAATTTTTCATTTTAAATATTAAAATGTTACTTTTTTTGTAATTTCATATCGCACAAAGATAAAAAAAAAAAATATATATATATATATATATATATATATATA